AAGTCATATACTGGCAATCTAAATGTGACCTTAAAATTGACCTTTGACCTACTTTACACCATGAACTGAATTTTGCAAATTTTGCTTTCCTTTTATCTCCAAAACTGGCTGAGATAGGTCCGTAGTTACTATTGAACTTGAATAGGAAGTCATATACTGGCATTATAAATGTGACATTAAAATTGACCTTTGTCCTACTTTTCACCATAAACTGAACTTTGCAAATTTTGCTTCCCCTTTATCTCCAAAATGAATAAACGTTGTTTAAAAAAAAAAAATGTGACCTTGAAATTGACCTTTGACCTACTTTTCACCATGAACTGAATTTTGCAAATTTTGCTTCCCCTTTATCTCCAAAACTGGCAGAGATAGGTCCATAGTTACTCTTGAACTTGAATAGGAAGTCATATACTGGCAATTTACTGTGACCTTGAAATTGACTCTTGACCTACCTTACGAAGAACTTAAATTTGATTGTACCATATATATTTTTTGCAATAGTTAAAAAATTCTTGTTGATTGCATTTTTACAGCTTGTCAAGCACAAAACTGGTGGCTGTGTCCCTTATTTTATGTATGTGGGGGTCTATACGAATGCGTTTGCTCCAGCTGGTGGTACAATATTTGGAGGCGGTATCGCCTCTCTTATCCTCTAGTTTCACCAAAGAATGGATCACAGGGTGGCTTCTGCTCACAGAATGCATCTGCTTGGTGATATCAACAGCTGTGGGAAAAAATTGGGGAATTGGTGCTTTGGAATTTATAGACTTATGTCAATCTACCGCTGGCAAACACAAGTTGATATTAAGAACTGTTTTGTTGAGTTTTGTATATGACTAAGGTGGATTTTTTTTCTCAAGAAGAACATGGAGAATTCACTAGCTTGGTCACGTAATGTGTAACTGTTTATGTACTCGTATACACTGGTGAATAAGTTACAGTGAATATTTAGTTTACTTATTGTCTGGTACCGATTGCTTGCAGTGCTAGATGGCAGGCTGGTTGGTTCATGGATCACTTTCGTTATATCGTAATGATGTTGCTATATATTTATATTTTGTGATTTTGGTGGTTTAAGTAATAGTTCATGTGATTATCCTTCTTTTTTATGCATTGCATTTATTTTTAAAAACATGAACACCAGCAATGCCATGTGCCCTTCATGGAATGGAATGCAAATCAACCTGCATTGTTGGGGACACAAATTTAACATCTTGTAACTTTTTTCGAGAAGAATCAAATTTTTAGCTACAAAAATATGTTCTCTGCCAAATTAAGATTCTTATGCAAATGTTGTTATATATTACTTATGTAAAGTAATAATGAGTCAAAATTCTTAGAATTAAGACAGCTGTCCATGCTACATTTCTTGTTCTCATACAGTCACTCTTTCATGTCATCTGCTGACCTTGAACTTGACCTTAATTTGACCTGCCCTTGACCTTGTTATTTCAGGGTTTTGTCGTGGGTTTCAGTGGGTCCAAAATCTTCTGCCTCCACGTGTATGCCATGTCATCAGTGGAGGTGCCCCAGTCTGCACCCATGTACCAGTATCTGGAGAAGAAACTCTTCAAGTAAGGCTGTATTCCCAGAGCTTTTAGATCGATCTATCCCGGCGGGGAGTCTCACTAGATTACTGTCAGATAATCCGGCTTAAATGTCTGTCCCGCCTACTACAAGCTGTAAGGGGGTAATTATTTTTCGTGTCTGCCCGGCTGACAGCTATTTAGCGTGAACCCCCAGGGAGTTAGGTCGATCTAAAGTAGATCGATCTAATCTCTGGAAATGGGGTCTAAGAATTTGTGATATGTACACCATGAGTCAGTGAGAGATTTACGAGATATACATGTGTGTGAGTGGATGTCATGTACATCTTGATGGTTGTTGAATTTCAAAAAGGACACTTTTCGTAACCCTGAGATATTAGGATCTTTTGAATGGGGATTTTTATTCATATTCCTGGCAGGTGTATACAGTGTTGCATGCCTTGGTGTCACAGAAATCAATAAGAAGCATATTTTGGCAATTAATTTATGGGTTTTTTAAAAAGGGGCATTTCTGATGACCTTCAGGTATAAGTATCTTTCTAACAGGGATATTTCTTACCCAATTTTAGGCAGGCGTATGATGTGGCCTGCCTGGGTGTCACTGACCAGGACTGGGCAGCTCTGGCTCACGAGGCAATGGAGGGGTTGGATTTTGATACGGCCAAGAAAGCCTTCATCAGGGTCAGGGAGCTGAGATATTTAGAGCTGCTTCACAGTATTGAGGTTAGTTTAGGTTTGTTTATTTATTTGATTGTTTTCTTTGTTTGATCATTTATTTATTTAAAAACAAAAATTTTGGTAGTTTCACATTTTATGTGTTATTGAATTGAAATGACATGACAATAGCACCATCCAATGATACAAAAATGCTCATATTTAGTAAGCATTTATAAAGATTTTGTGTTGTACCAATTTTTACCTACACATCTTCAGACAACAGCAAATAGATAAATATTGTCTTGTTCAGTGAGCAGAATTCATATAATTTATATAATTGAATTTTGAATTTATACATGGAAGAAAGGGTGGATTCTTATTTAACCCCAAATTTAAGTTTTTTAATAGAGATACATTCATTTCAGGAGAGGCGCAGGCGTGGGGAGACAGACAATCACCTGTTCCTTGCGGACTTCTATGCTTACCAAGGCAAGTTTGGAGAGGCCGCCAAACTGTATAAGAGAGCAGGGCAGGAGGGCAAGGCCATGAACATGTATACTGATCTCAGGATGTTTGAGTACGCCAAGGTAATAATCTGATTCAACATCTTCTTTATGTTATGTCTCTCCATGTGGGCCCAAGTACTCTGAAGTGCCAAAAAAAAGTGCCGGCACGTTTATTTTTTTTCCGGAAATTTTCCACCCGGCACGATCTTATTTTCCCCGGCACGATTAATAATTTTCCACACGGCACGGTTATTTGGCACTCACCGTGCCGGTTGGAAATATTGTTGATCGTTTCGGAAATGTTGATGGTCGTTTCATTGGACAAGTTAATAATTATTAATGACCCGTCGCAAGCACTACACTCGAAACACTTTTAGCGTAAATAAAAGCCAGCGTTTCTCCAGCATATAANATATACTGGCAATTTACTGTGCCCTTGAAATTGACCCTTGACCTACCTTACGAAGAACTTAAATTTGATTGTACCATATATATTTTTTGCAATAGTTTAAAAATTCTTGTTGATTGCATTTTTACAGCTTGTCAAGCACAAAACTGGCGGCTGTGTCCCTTATTTTGTGTATGTGGGGGTCTATACGAATGCGTTTGCTCCAGCTGGTGGTACAATATTTGGAGGCGGTATCGCCTCTCTGATCCTCTAGTTGAGAACTCTTTTTATACATCGATAATAGCATAGTTAATCCCATGTGCAAAAATAAAGAAGTTGGCACTCAGTATACATAACTTATCATTTTACTAATAACATGTAGGTGCTTATTATCAGTGAAAACTAAAAGGTAAATGGGGTAATTTTGGAAAGGGTGGAAGTTGTGATGTATTTGCCATATGTGAAATGAAGTAGAATGCTTACTTAATCATAAGTTGTTATAAATTTATGAATTTTAACTTAGAAGTATTGAAAGGGGCCTTCTCATATGGAGGCATGAAGAATAGATTTCGTCGTTGAAGTAAAGCTGAAGATGACATTCAAATTAACCAATATAAAAATAATAGTTTTTATCCATCAGCAGTACGTATTTTTAATGAACAAAATGTATTTTAATAATACCATTGTATTACATATTATCGACAGATCATACCAATTTTCATTTTATACTTGTATAAATATGACAATAAATTATTATATAAATTGCAATGATTAGGAACAAATACATCTCTGCATGAGTATCAAACAAGGCAACAAAGTTATCAAATGAACAGACAAGAAAGGAAAACAGTGGTGCACTTAATAGGTTATTATGTCAATTTTAATGCAATATTACATAATGGCATTATGCAACCAAATCATTAACAGCAATATCAACAAAAAATATCAAGTATGCATAACAGGTGACTAGCAAATGACCTCGGTCCCGTAAGAGTTCCAATCCACAAGTTGATAATCCCAAATGTGATAAATGAATATTTTCCAATGGAAGAACGTTTAACTGACTGGTTTTCCAACTCGAGCTGTATTTTAGTTCTAAGAATCATTTTTTGCAAGTTTGGGCATAATAATTAACATTTTATTCCCTTTATACTGCTTATGTCGACAGTGCACAATTTTTTGGTCAGTAATATATTATGCTTAACAGTATAACCATCATCAATTATTCATAATATACTATTTGTATCATGAAAATGTAAAGGCTGAGTCGTTATCAAGATCACCGACGCCATCTACGAAACTGCTCTGACTTACGGGCTTACATGTACGATTTTAAAAAAATGTAAAAAGGGCTTGAGCTTGACAAAATCGTAGCAAGCCTGTGAATTGGTATGATTTCGTACGATTTTATCTCTCCATATCGCAGTAAAACTGATTGCAATCTGCAAGAATCCACGCAGAGTTGGATCGATCTGCGGAGATAGATTGTGTCTGTTGGAATGGGGTCTAATACTCTACATGTAGTCCTGCACTGGCTTCTGTTGTATGACCAATTTAACAAAAGTAATAAAAGAAAATGTTGTTTTATCGTTGAAAAAGAGTGTTTAGAGCGCTACCAATCAGCTGTAACCAGCGCAAAACAAGATGAATAGCATACTAATCTTTTGCTCATGGGCGCTTCATAACAAAAATCGAAACGATTTTAAAGACGACTGCTTGTATTGATGCCTAGTGCACTTGTTATCAAAACGGTGCAGAATGACCGGCCATCAAGGGACTACGTTGTTTATGACAAGAATTCTCGCCTGACCTTGTTTACCTCTTGAGCGATAATTTATACTTATCTTCGTCAAGCAGTGACTGGGGGCTGTGACACTTCGATCAGTGAGTGGGTGCTAGTAATACACAAGTTCAGAAGTTTCTCTGGCAAGCACTTGTAGACATGGGACCGTTTCGTGGCAAGGTTCAGACAGGTAGGTTTGCTTTCACTTTCGGAAGTTGTAGTTAAAAAGGAATGCCGCGAAGGACACACAGATGGTTTTCAGGTCAAAATTAAACACACACAGATACTTGATATCGCCCTAGAGTTCTTGTGTAATTGAAAACTATGGTAAATTTTGTTTGTGCCGCCGAATATTACATCGTGTAACTTAAAGAATCATTCCTATTGGAACTATCGATCTAACGCCGCTGTAACTCTCGCTGAATGCAGACAGATTAAGGGATTAACACGCCTCCTCCTGGAGTAGATTACAGAAAAGTAATGATTATACGAGTACGTTAGAAACAAGAGGAGGCGTGTTAATCTGACTCTATCACCCCATTTCCATAGATTTTTAGGTCGATCTATCCCTGTGGGGAGTCTCACTAGATTGCTGTCAGTTTGGCCGGCTTAAGCGTCTGTCCCGCCTACTAAAAGCTGTAAGGGGGTAATTAACTATGGTGCCCGCTCGGCTGACTGCAATTTAGCGTGAACCCCCAGGGAGTTAGGTCGATCTAAATCTTAATCTTTAGATCGATCTAAATCTCTGGGAAAGCACCCTATGCATCGAGAGTCTACGCGGAGTTGGATCGATCTATGTATTCCGGTAGTTTCATTGGGAGTCATCCCTAAGGCTATTAAGTTGGATGCATAAGGGGGTTATTGACAGAGTTACGGGAGAAATAAAGACTGGAAGAATTAAGGAGACAGACGAGGATTACAATGTTTATAACTAGAGAGGCAGCGAAAGTTCAGAGGCTGGAGTTTTCACATAACATCATGTAGCTACAGAGCGTTCAGCAAATAAAACGTATCACTGGTCATTATTGTTTGTACCTGATTTTTAAAATCTTTTTTGATCTGAGTGTGTGCGGTGCGTGTGTGTGTGCGCGCCCGACTTCATACGTTTTGTCTGAGAGTACGAACCGCGGAATCTTCAGATTGCGTTTTGTGTAAAGTAAGTAATGTCTCTTTTCGAGCCCAAGCTTAAATTAACCTAATTAAGCTTTACTAAATTTACAGAAGTCAAGGACATTATGTTATATATGTAAAAGTTCATTACAGGCAGAACACCAGGTTGTATTATATTTTTCTCTTTTTACATAACCCGTATTGTATGGTAGTTACGTCCAAAGAGTTCCTTCCCTTCTCTCACTCCCGGCTTGGACCTAAATACTATAGAGATTTATTTAGGTCCAAGCTCCCGGTCAAGGATTTCACAAGAATTATAATGCGAAAATGTTATCTTGGAATCCATATTTATCGATTAAAACCCCAAAGTGTGGGGGTCGTCTTTTTCTCCAATGTGACGCATAAGGATCTTGTAGAGACAGATTTTCGCCACATTTAGTTTATAAATACGCATAAACACGTAGGTGAATTACAAATTGGATGGCAAGTTCCTTTCTGAACAAACAACTGGTAACTGTTATAACCCCGACCCTAGTTCAAGAATACCGATAATGAGGCAGCTTTGTGTTCGTACAAGGGTTTATTTAGCCACCGTACAGCCAAATTGATAGATTTCAAGTTATTAGCTAGGATGTATGCCATGGTACAGTGTACCCTCTACCAGGGTCACAAGCGGATTTTTTCTATTCACTAGCTGTGTGCATTTCTGTTTTGTTGGTTTTTTTTTTCTTATTTATAATGATGGCATCATTTTTCAGCTGGCCTCTGATGTAAATGTAAAGTAAGACCTCATTCCCATATCTAGATCGATCTAGCGGTCCATCTCCGAGGGGATTCTTACTAAATTGCACTCAAGCGTTTTACATGTCTGGCACGCCTACTGAAGCTGTTAGGGGGTACATGTAACTATCGTTTAGCAGCCTCAGTAGGTGTGCCAGACTTCCAAGCCACTTAAGTTGAGTGCAATTAAGCGAGAATCCCCTTCGAGATGGACCGATCCCGCTAGATGGGGTCTAAGTGTATAGATAACCGTATGCATTAATGCCAGCAGTCGACACAAATGGTCGTTGAAAGCATATGAAGTAACCATACTTCGAGAGTTTGTAACTCCACCGAGTAAAACGACTATTAGAACCCTCTGTTGCTACTCTCTTGCTCCAGGGTCGCTGCTAGACGGGTCAAGTGATATCATTGGGCATTTGCTACCTGTACCTATTTGGTTACAGCATTTAGACAGAATACCGATTTGGGGTAACAGTGTATAGATTCACTGTTAGAACAACGTTACCCTTATAGCAATAAAAACCAACGTATTTATTTTCTCTCTTTGTAAAATTTCGTCCTTGTTCACTTTTATATTGGTAGTGCCAGTTCAAAACCACATGGGATCTAATTTAGTTTTAGGGTGTATTGACCCCAGTGAACTGGGAATAACGCTACCACACGAACATTTATCGTCAGATTTCACGTGTGCGTTCTCCCCACCGCATCCAGGCGATGAAGACAGGATCGACCTTCCACCGTCCCTTGAGAACATGGGCTGGGTTATGAGATACCCGTATGTATACCACACTGCTAAGCAATTATTTTTGTAGACGTTTTGCAAGCTGCATTTGCCTTTTTTATTTATTTCATTTTTTCCAAATTATTGTACCACCAGCGTAGGCGCTGGCGGTACACATGGTTTTAGTCCCGACCCGTATGTTCCGCCGGCTCCGCCGCCAAGTCACCGTTACCGCTTCTCCTCCTAGACTACTAGAGCCTGCATACCCATCTCTTGGATTTAGGTCACCTATAATCTCAACTCATTCC